TTGTTTCTAGCCGTACCTATTGTGTAATGGAGTGTATCTGGTGGTATTTGAATCTGTTCAACCATGAAGCCTCCGTGGTCTAATGGTTATGATGCTCTGTCGCCTTGACAGCGAGAGTGGTCTAATGGTTATGTCGCAGGTTCGAGTCCCGCCAGAGGCATTTTATTACACAATTTCTTAATTCATTTATTTACAGGACTACATTCGTTGAGAGCTATGCTACACGGTGTATTATTATGTCCTTTATTTAACACTGTATTTACCTTTCTTTGATGATTTATATATATAATATATATATATGTTTTCCAAAAACCGAAATGTCCATTGATTAATTTCAAATAAGATAGGCCTAGTATACATAGGCCTACCCCAAGTATCGAAATGCACGCCATCGTGTCGGGATTCAATGTTTCGACATTAATTATGTTATTATTTCAATTTCATATTTTCAACATAAATTACCGTGAAACCTCGAATTGAGCTACGCTGTGCTTCTTCTTCTTTTTTTTTTTTTTGCGATCTTTAGATGGGCTTTTTTTCAAAGCTACTTTTGCAAAGTAAAGAGGGGGCATCTTTTCAAAATGAGTACTGTAAATTTTGCGAATTTGTACTATAAAACAATCAATACAGCTACAGTAACATAAATCTGTATCATGGAGTGTATTTATCTGACATTAAATCACTTAAACTACTGTATAAACTAAGCTTGTTTTAAATTTATTTTGTTTTTTGAAATTTATGTACAGTGTATTTGTGTACTGTACTATCTCGAAAAGAAGCCGATGCTGGCCGCAGAGATTGGCTTCATCTCGAGATTAAGCCCACTGGGCTTCAATGCAACATCAGAAATCATTCCTGGTGATGACATAATTAATGTCGAAATATTGAATCCCTACACATGGCCTGCATTTCTATATACAGCACTGTATACCGTATATAAAGTATTAAAAATTATTAAAAATCTCCTTAAAACTATCTTTATAAACTTTTCGAGGGATGATTGTAGAATCGTTTGACATGATTGAATGACATCACGGTATTTTACTTCATTCACTAATCCAATCACCTTAGGCTTAGTTCATGATGTTATTTCGGATAGATCATTCTATATATCTCTATGTTTTATACAAACTTTTGATTTACTTATTGCGCCCTCATATTGCTTGGACTCCTACACTAACTTTGAGGTAACTAAAAATTGTAAGTTTAAACATTGATTAATTCAATTTTAAAATTAATGTTGCTTGTTTAGTATTTTAATGTGAGGATTTTTAATGTTCAATATTGTAATATATTTTTGGTTTGTAATTATAATTGTCAGGTATTATAATTACATTTAGAAACTTACTACAGGATATGTAACACGTGGAGCTTTCGACTATTCTATTTATCTTTTTGCCAACAAACACGAAAGAAATTCGCGACTCGCGAGTGGTGAAGAAACTGTTGCCAACCGGGAAATCGTCTGGGTGAAGAAGAATGTACTTGTTCCATTCAACACCACTAGAGTGGTAGGTTTTTAAATGTTTATTTCATTAAGATACATTTCAAATATAGTAAAAATGTAGATGTTGTATTTGAAGCTAATTCCGAAGGAAACTTCAGTACAGGTGAATTAATACTATAGTGTGCAGGCCTGCAGAGGCATTCCTTTCATACAGACGGGCAGTAGGCCTAGTCCAGGAGGAGAGTCTACTTTCTTCAACTCCTTGGCACCGTACTGTACATTATAGTAAGTTAGCATGGATGAGGCTAGCAGAAGAAGAAGAGTAGGTTGTTCAGTTAGTTCTTCTTAGTGTACATGACTACAGGTATAATAATACTTGGTCTAAACTCTTACTTAAATAATGATTTAATGGAAAGCAGACGCAGACTTTTTGAACCACATATCTGTGTGGGAGCACAATCAAATAAGTATTTTTAAATATTTATATTATTCTATTGCTTCAAAATTACAGTGATGTGGTGGTCTCACAGGACTCATCAGTTTTCTTTTATTAGAGAGCTGGGTTTGTGTTAAAAGTTTGGAGATTGTTGTTTCGAATTAGAGACGCAGTGGTGACTCTAGGATCCATTTTCTCTCGGGGGGGTAGCGGAAGCTGTCCGACTTGGGGTCTTGAACTTGTATTGTTGAGGAGGGGGAGGGTTGGAGAGGGTGTCCCCACCCAAATGAGATTTTTTATTTTAAACAGGGATTTCTGGATGGCCTGAAAATGCACTCTATGACTGTGAAAGACATGTTTTGGCTTGGATTAGGCCTATATTAAATTTTTAATTTTGTCCAACTGCCTGACGAGCTCGGCTGGTTGGGGGAAGGGGGTGGCTTGACTCATCCGATGGGAGGCTTAAGCCTCCTGTCCCCCTGGCACCTCCACTGATTAGAGGGCCTTGAGTTAAGAGTGTGAAATACTATTAGTTAATACTATACTGTACTTCTGTGGCCCTACTAAGCACACTCGGCACAAATTTATTCATACTACTGTAGTGCTCGGCCATAGTTTGAGTTGGCCGGCATGCAATAGCTAAAATAATGGCTTGGAAAAAAAGGTAATAATTCATGGCTTCAATCATGCTGACCTTCAGATCTGATCTAGTTAATTGTTCTGTTGACCTCAGCTTGACACTAGGCTCAAAACAGAGGAAATGAAAATAGATATATATGTTCAGCAGACAATCGTTCATAGATTGAATGAATACTGATGTCTGGCAGACATTTTGACATAACAGTGTTATAAATAAAGGGATTTTACTTAATAACAAAATGCCTAGATATTACCTGGGTCAGTTTTTGTATTTTCAAAAATTATCTAATATTTTATTTATTTCTTTTATGACAATGAAAACATGTTTTTTTTTTTTTAATAGAAATCCTGAACAAATGGACAAACATGATAAGTTTTGATTAATAGTTAGATAAAAAAAAAGTCCTTATTTAGGCGTCATTATTAAGTGAAAAAAGTCTTCAAAAAATTAAAAAAATCTATCAAACAATTAAATCATGATACTGTACAGTTTACTTACTGTATGGGCTAAGTTATAAAACAAAACATAATTGAAGAGGAATTTGACCAATATGTGGTGATAAAAAAAATCATTAAAATTCCAGGGATGCAGAGAAATACTCATGAACCAAATAGGCTATAACAGACTTTATTTAATTCAATGAGAGATGGGTGTGATTCAACATGCCTTTACAAAAGAGTTCAGGGGTCAGATCTGAATTCTTATGTTACTCCCACTCATCCTCAGCTGGCATTATACCAGTATAGACAACGTAGACAGAAGCCCTTTGTATTGGGCATGTGAGAGGCAACAGCATGTGGGAGGCAACGACATGTGGGCTAGGTGACTGATGCTCTGATCATCAATGAAATGCTTTGTAGTGTCTGATAAAATAATATGCAATTTTATCATCATTTCAGGATTTTGTTAAAAAGTACCATGTGACCCAATAATCAAAAAGCTTTTGAATAAATATTTAAAATTTATTTATTCTTTGTTTAGACCCCAGGCACTTTCAGTATTGGTGTACTGGTTTTCAAACTACATTTACAAACCATGAAAATAAAGAAAACAACACAAAAACAAAGTCAAAAGAAAATTCAATGTAAAACTTATAAATTAATAGAATTTTGGAGTAGTAATTAATAGGTCTTTATGTAGCAGGGGTATACCTTATCTATACCAGGGTTCATACAGGTTTTTGGAAAGTTATGGAAAATGATCTCAATGTTTTCCAGGACCTTGAAAGTCATGGAAAATAAAATTGGTTATGGAAAAGTTTAAAAATATTTGACAATGTGAAAAATCGGGGTCACACTGCCGCACACCTAGAAAAATATTTTGTGCAATTTTTTTTTTCTATCGTATGCAGTTTTGGAAATTTAGACTATAGGGTTTTTGCAAGAAAAGAAATGGTACCGCCTTCTTTGTTCTGAGTTTCTTGTTATGATAGTTGTTAATAAAGGATATAAAAAACAAGTCCTGGCGCATTTTAGCACCCTATTCACTTTGCACGTACCCTATGCGCACCCCCTGTAGATACAGTATGTCTCTGGACAGTAGTCATTGTTGGGTTTACTGTAAGATCTTGGGTCTGAAATGTAAGACCTTGAATCACTTTATACTAGTGTTTAATGGTAGATTGAGTTCCAGAAAGGAATACCACATTTGCAGTGACCATAAGATCTTCCTATATACCTGTACTGACATATTAATCAGGGCCTTCACCTCTAGAACATCATCTGACCCGTCAAAGTGGTAAGTTTTACACTGCGTGGGATGCTTTATCTTTGCCTTGCACCACAATAGACTTTTTAAATCATACCCGGATTATCTTCCTGAATCATTGCACTACTGTAGGTTTATCCCAGCCACATAACTTTAAACACAAGGTTTTTTTAAGAATATAGGACTAATGTCCATGTCTACATCCTAAATTGAAGCCACGTGGGCCGCGTAGATCGTAATGCTTATCTAAATCTATGATTTGTCTTCATTTAACTGTATTATTATTATATTTAAAATGTTGTTTATTATCTAAAAACAACAAAATTCAACATATTGTAGGCCTAATCCTATCGTCCGTTTAAACGCAACAACGATCACATCGTGACTTCACTGCTGACAAGTACATGTGTGGAAAATCCCTGATAGATCATTCTGGGCATGCACATGGGCAGTTTTAAAGCAGCCTGTGATGATACGATCGTAGCTTTTACGAAAGTGATATTTCCCATGCCAAAGATAACGATAAAACGAACGCTAAAACGAAATTTATTTGGCGATTTTCTTATGTAAAACATATGTATTATGCTACACTATTAAATTAATACAGGTACGACCATTCTTTCACCAGCAATATATTGATTTAATAGAGAAATTAACAAAATCACAATCTGTTGATGACGATGTAAGGTCGAGCGTTCGGAAAAATCGTTGTTTATACTATATAGGCCTACTGTAGGTAGTAAAAAATTTCCGAGGCTGCCGACCTCGGAGAATTTAAGGTCGGCAAATTTTTGCCGACCTAATTTTTTCCAAATTTCATGGGCTGCTACAAGTCATTTCCCATGCTATAGAATATGATAAACCACACTGTGGTCTACAGTTACCGCATTGAATACAGTGACACTAAGGGCCCGTTTATTTCACTGGGTAATTGCGCTAAGCACTCAGCGGGTGGTCGACCGTTCGAGCAAGTTTTAGCTCACGGTAAATATGTGTAACGAAACTATTCCGGAAGTAAATTTTAACTTACCCCATGGTCAACAACCCATTCTTGTTTACTTGCTACTGCCGATATATAACCGGCCCACGTAAACACAGTGCGGCACGGTGGAACAATAATGTAGCTCAATAACTTATAATGGCTGCTTTAAAATCTGTATGTAGGTTAGTTTATTCAAGTTTATTTCTCCGAATAATGGTAAATCTACAAATCGAACGCGTAGCTATGCTACTAAATTTAGATTTTGTTGTGCATTGTGTGAGGAGGCGAAAGAGAGCTGCAACCATGCCTGGGCCGTAACCTAGTGAATTTCACGCTGGGCTGTGGACAAAACTTTTTGAAAAACAATTAAGATTGATTTATCATCGCCTCCGGCTCAATGGTCATTCCATACACGATATTCTACCCAGCAATTTGGTGGTCAAAATTGTCGCAGATAATCCAGATGGTAAGGTAATTAGACTAGTGTCCGAGCGGTTTTAGAAAGTGTGTACCGGTGAATTAACTGGTAAATCGCACGGATATTTTTTAGTTGTACTTTATTATGAAAACATGTAACTTTGGTGATACATGTTGTTTGTTTTTTTTCATTGTCAATTTTTAACATTTTAAAAGTTAATATCTTAACCAGGAATGGGGGTTCATTGGGTTTGGGTGTTTTTTCCTTGTGGCCATGCTACAAAGTTCCATGTGTTGTTTTGGCCCTGTCTCTTTCATTTTCCTGACTTTATTCAATGTATTGTAATGTAGTTGAAAAACAAGTAAAAATAAAAAAGTACTATTCCGATTGTGATTGTGTTCAATTGCTGCTCCATCTAATCATGGAGGACTATGTAATGAATGAATGAATATGTACGAATATGTATGGTGATGAATCAGTTAATAGTAAATTCCTGAGTAGAGGGAGGAAAACATTTACCTTGCTTAGTAGGGACATATAGTTAAAAACTGAACTCATTCATTCATTTGAAAAACAAACAGGCTTTCTTTTATTTATTTTTCGTTATTGACCTTTAATTGTAATCAAGTTCACCCTTAATTGGCTTACAGGTTAATACTACAGTGAAGAAACCTATCATTTTCTGCCCATTGGCAAGAAGAAAGCCCTCTGTAATTGGGGTCATCGGCCCTTTTGTCGGTTATCATTGAGTAATTTCATTGACAGTGAACTAGGCCGAGCTACCGCAACAAATACTGCAAGTTACTGAAAAGTGGGATTAGCATTAGTCAATGGCAGGCATGCATCAGTTGATGACTAATCTACTGTAATCATGGAAGGAATTCTGCTAGTACTCACTACCCAAAATCTTTCTACAACCAACTAATGAGTGAGTGGCAACACCAGTGGTTGTGCGGAGGGGTGGAGGTCATGTCAGAAATTTTCCCCTGTCAAAAAAGAGGACACCAAAATGAGGTTGTTGGACTTTAAATAATTCTCAGTCGATCTAAACAAATTTTATTATGATTCAATGATATTCCCTAATGTTGTGGTCTAGAGCACAATTTGAGACCATCCTAAACTATAAAATTCTTCCCATAAACCCACCAGGCACAGGTCTCCCTCCAATTAAAGACCTCTTGCCTGGTCCAAAATTAACAGATATCTTTTATTTATATTATTCTAATTAAAGACCAAATCTGCTGAAGCCCATAAACCCCAGTCCCAAAAGTGGTCATTAATTGGAGGGAGACCAGTATTTTATTCTGAGACCCTGACCGAGTCTCTAGACCTTAGTTTGGACCCCTGTCAGACTTCCCTGTTAACAAATTTCTCGAACCACCATTCTATCCAACTTAATCAGCTATCGTATTCTTCAACTGGTTCACATATATTTCTATCTCTTTTAAAATACTGTATGCTTAAGAACCATTGTTTTATTACCCTTTTCAGAAGCACTTTTTTTATTTCCCTTTCCACATTTCAACCCCGCCCCCCATCAAGGTACATATTATACTTCTGAACATTTGCGTAGATCATCTCAAATCACTTCATCTTATTTCCCCTTCTGTATTGTAGGCCTCATTTTCAAACCTTGTTTGTATTGACTTTTAAAATTACCTGTAAAAAATTGTGTGTTTTAGACTTGGGAGGTATTTTAACAAAGTACTATGTACTCCTACTCTCATAAGACAGTGAAATACTGTGACCTTAGAAGGTAGGGATCAAATTATCCAGTGTGATTGCCAGCAACAAAATGTTTTTATGGAGTAGGCCACATATTAAAGCAACTTTCTATTGAAGATAATATGTCTTCCTCCAATTAAAGTCCACTTCTGGGACGGAGGTTTCTTTTAGCAGTTTGTCTCTAATTAGAATAATAAAGATAAAAGACATGTTAATTTGGGAACACAGAAAAGTGGTTTGTAATTGGAGGTGGTCTTTAATTGGATGGACGCCTGTATTTTTTTAAATTTTTTTTATTGCAACTTAATCCAAAACCAATCAAAATTATTATAATTTCTGAGAGGTCAATGAAATTTCATTTTGAGCATCTCGAAAACTCTGTGAATTCAGACCACGAAGTCATTCTCCGATCCCAAGGATGACTTTCATAAAACTATTAACAATAGATGACCTCCGACAAAGGTGTGTCATGGGTTTTCTTGCAGGCAGTAAAACAATGCACTCTTATGTTGATATTGTATGTTAAAGACAAGCCATTCTTCTTAACTTCCTTCCTTGTTGATATCCTGGCAGGTATATTTTCAGTTGAGGAAGTACTGTAATGCGAAACATTGTTTACGAGTGAAGTTAATCATTGTTAAGTGTCATATGTTCTTTAGCTTAACCATTGTGATTTTGTGCTATGATTCTTCAAATGTATCGACATTTAAATCAATTTCCTCCAGTAAAATTACATGTCTGTAAAATCACCTGAACTACGGAGGTTCTGAAGAGGATGTTCTGTACAGTAAGTAACAATAGCTATAACATTGGAAATTCCTGTTGACTATTTTCGCCATTCGTTCTAAAGTACTTTATAACCATGACTTTTGTTTCGATGTTGTTTGCATCAGAAATTTAGACTTCTGCTGGGAATATTTTGCAGGTTATTTTGTCAGGAAATCATAGTTACAAGGACTCTACAATTTTCTTTCTGTCTTTACAGATGGCTGAGAACATAGGATGACATTGAAAGTATTGGTGTTTAGATACTTGGGTAAACACATGGATTATATTAAGGTGTGGATCCCACAGCAATAGTTATGGGTGCTGTAACGAGCTGCTGTGGGCGTAGGCCCAAGAAAAGTCGGCTACGTACAAAGGACGAATGCCGCCCATCAAAACGTGGCCACCGGCGCCAGTTAAGCGCTGCATATAATGCCAGTGAGTTTACTATGGACCAACTTGATATCAATCAAGCGTGCGAAGAAGAATTAATGAATTTAGATGGCATCAGTCGCAATGTTGCACGTAACATCATACAGTATAGGAACTATATTGGGGGTTTTCGTAAAGTTGAAGATCTTGCCTTAGTTTCTGGAGTTGGTGCGCTGAAATTGGAGAATTTTCGTACAGATATTTATTGCGGTGAATTTTGTTGTTCGCCGTCAAGGACTCAACGGCCGAATTTATCACGTGTTCCATCTTGGACACGGTGGAGTACTTACTCCAAGTGCAATTCTGTTGATAAAGTTGACATTAATACGGCATCGCTGGCGCAGATTGCGCAAATACGTGGTGTTCGAGAAAATGTAGCTGAAGAAATTGTTAATTACCGCAATGAAAATGGTCCATTTCAAGTGCTCTCTGAATTAAGTCACCTACCATCTGTCGGAACGTATTTATTTGACCGAATTCGTGGGTTTTTGACGATCGGTGACACGGTAAGTGTAAGCGTTAGTACCACATCGACACCGGTTTCAGTAGCTGAGCAGGGAGACTTATTCCAAGGCTCTGCTAACGTCTCATGTTCAACACAGACGCCGCCAAAACAAGACCGTATACCGGTATGTTTGTGCCACACAGGCTTGGCCGAGGACTACAAATGGAAAGTAAACATTGAGAAACATGGCAGGCCAGTGATTCGGATTGCTTCATGGAATTTGGGACAATATACTCTGGCAAAATGTCGGAATCTTGGAGTTAAGGAAGTAATTGTTCGCACCATCCTTGAAAATGGGTAAGTGACAGACCTTTAATGAGGAATTCAGTTGACACCACTTATCAGACTTTTTTTTTGCTGCTGCATTGTTGTTGAATGTTGATTAATATTAACTTGTGTATACATACAGTATTACTATATGTTTATTCTACCTTTCAACTTCATTTTTCTAGTTAGATATTAATTTTTTTTTATCCATTTTGGATTTAAAATTAGCTATGTTTTTAATTTTTATTGGTAAATTCAGTAAGTGTATCTTACGGTATTTCTTTCAGTATCTTTAATCAAAATGATGTGTAGACTAATCAATAATGATTCTTTAAATTTGTATAGTAGTATCAGTAATCATAACAATTATGGCAGTTACTACAGTAGATGCTTCTATGTTATTTGACACTAACAGAGAAAATGCAATGTAGACCATTGTACCAAAGATCTTATAAACACTTAATTTACAGTAGCAGTAAAAACTAATCCTACCCTCCTTAAAAATTTGCATTGTTGGCTGTTGTGTGCAGAAATCTAATTTTAGTTGTGTCTTAACTTGCAGATTTGGACTGATAGCAGTACAAGATATCAGGGAACAACATGTTCTGGTACAGGTGAGCACATCAAAAGCAATACCTTAATTCACCTGACATTATTTTGGAACACTTCCTTCCTTTCCCATGTGTACTGTACAGTATGCCATCTTTGGAAGGGAACTAATTCTATTTGATAAGCCAGGTCAACATTTGACCTACAACACATTTTTTTTTATCGCTCGCAGTTTGAACAGTTCTTCTTTAAGAACGATCCGTTTGACAACCGTTGGGCGCAGTGACTGGATTCACTCTATGCATTTTATTTATTTCAATTTATTTATTTATTTTATTTATTTATTTATTTATTTTAATTTATTTTATTTATTTTATTTATTTATTTATTTATTTTATTTTATTTTATTTTATTTTATTTATTTTATTTATACTACGTTTTAATTTATTTTATTTATTCCTAAACCAACAGGAACATATCACCACTTAAAAAATGAGCTTAACATTGTCATTAAAATGAAGTGCCTATTTACGGCTGCTAGTTAGTCCCGGACCACGCCCATATGCAATTCAGCACAATGACGCTGCAAGTTATGAGTTATTCTCCTACCTTTACCCTTTACCTTTTTACCCTTTACATACAGTACACTGAGGAATTTGGATAGTTATCCCTGAGCATTCCCTAGGATAAAGAATAATAAAACAAAAATAAACAAAATCCCTTCTCCAACACAATCCCAGACATAACTTTTACTTTAAAATGAGAGATTGGATGTGGAAAACTATTAAAAAAATATTGCCATTATCTATAATATTTGTTGTTTGACATTTATCCATTCGGTGAAGGTCTATTATTTCCTTTGGATGTTGCAATAACAGACAATGTTTACAGGCTAGCAGAAATATTTTTTTTATATATTGTATTTTTGTTTCATGAATAGCTAATGGATTTTTGGCCACTACAGTATAGTAGTTCTCCAGCACTAAACTACAGTATTTCCCTAACTACCGGTAGTTTGTTCCCTCATAGTCCATCCTCGATCTGTAATACATTGAAATTTAATCAATTAATGGATCTCATCTGAGAAGATGTTCATATAATCTCAATGAGTACGTAATACTTTATTTATAACCCCAGCACTCAAACATGGGTGTGTGACTCCATCTGAAATAACATTGCATCACAGCAAAGTGACTCGCTAGTGCACTTCATTTCATTTTTAACGGGTCACAATAGGAACATTTCCTGATTCATTACACCTGATTTGATAGATTCTTTAAATCGTTGTTGTATTAGTGCATGATTGTTTTGAAAACTCAGATGCAACATAAGCAGCCATGCGAGAAGGAATTGAAGGAATTGTTTGACGTGTTAAACCAAGATATGACAGTTTCTATTTCCAAGATGTCATAAGTAATTTGATATATAAGACCATGTGTAGGCCTATTTTATTGTATTTAGAATGGCATCATAAATTGTCTGTACAGTGAAGAATCCATGCACGGCATTCTAATGTGGGGGCCTAGTAAACCACATTCATAAAACATATTAAATAAAATTTATCTGTTTGTTTTTATTGGTATTTTTTCAGCTTGTTTGTCTTATTTAATTGTTGTCGTTGGGTGATCCATTGCTTTGAAAACATGCTTTCAAAAAATGCATCCATGCAAGAGAGAATTGTATGGATATGTTGAACTAATCTATGATAGTTTCTCTTTCTAAGATTTCAAATCAATTTGATATTCTGAATATAAAAGACATTGTTTACTGATACTTATTTACATTGGCTTCATAAAATGTTCAGAGTGTAGCCAACTGCATTCTTAGAAACAAATTAAAGAACATTTAAAGGGTTGCATTTAAATTTCACTAAAAATTTGTCAAGGTACTTTTAAAGCCCCATTGCCGGCAAAATTTCAGTAAAGAAAAATCTGATTTTTATATATGTTATAAAGATTTATAAACATAATACGAAATTTCCAGTTTAACTGAATTTAGACATTCCTAAACATGAAAAAATTTGATTTTTTTTTATACAAGAAATAAATGTGGATGAATTTTTTATGTTTGATTTTGCCATAGGTCTACGAAGAAATATAGTAGGCACTGGAAGCATTAGCCTATCCAACACTGCTAGGCTATGCCTAGCCTTACCTCAATTTAGGTCCTGTTATCACACAGAGCCAGGCTTTAGAGGTAAAACAAACTGGGTATTGTGCTCCTTTCTTCCACCCCCCCCCCCTCCAGTTTCTAAATATTACAATTTCTGATCTTGGCAAGACTTTTTTTGTGCCTTGTTTTGCAAACTTATTTTTTTAAAGATCATCAGAAGAGGGCAGAAAAAAATAAAAATAAATTTTTGTTTCCTTATTTAGCAAATAAATTTTGCCAAAAAGATCTAGAAGGAGGAGAAAATAAAAATAACATTTTATTGGTAAATGTAAACAGTGTAGTAATGGGATAGTTAATTAAATGCTTTAAATTTATATAATTAGGTAAGAAATATGCATCTTATCTTTAGATATTTAGAGGAACTGGGGGCGTAATAAATTATTTTTTTTTTAATTTATTTATTTTTTATTGGCGCATAGAGACTGCTGTATTATGCGCCATATAGATCCATTGATTGATCGATTGATTGATAGATCCAACTGCCACTGTATACCCACCACCATGATTCATTGATGTGACTCAAAAATGTAAAAGAACTTCACCAGAACATGATCTGTTTCCTCTCGGAATACAACATGCCTTTATGATCTCTATTAATTATTCAACTGCATGTTATCAATGTGCACCACACAAACTAGTCATACAGACTTTCTAGGCATCATAAATCTGGATTATAAGTGGAACTTGTCCTTTGCCAATATAATCTATTCCAACATTTCCTTGGTATATCATAGAGGGGAAACATTTATTGGGTATAATAGGCCTATAAAGGTTGATAACTACAATATCTTCTTATCTTTGTGTGATTCATTTTGCATTGCACACCCACACTGAAGATTTTATGTTGTCTACTTTGTCCTATTGGGCGTACAGGGTTGTAAAGCTCAAAATGCTCAGCTGTAAACACAATAACTTCCTACATTTTCCTACAACTGGTCAATCACCTGCCTACTTATTCTTCCCTTCCAATTTCCAGCGTAGATGCATAACATACTGTTTCACAATGTGCAATGCTTGCTTGGTATTATTTGCTATAACTGGCATATTACTATTATTTGTGACCGGTTCTGGAAAAACCCGCCATTTGTCACAATTTCTAATTTCGTAGAAGCACCCAAAATGTTTGAGGATCAGAATTTTGAACATTTTCAGGTTATTGCATTTTATAAATGAAAGTATTGTATATATTGAAGAACATTTCTGCAAAAACATCAATCACTAACTCTAACTGAAAAGTGTACGAAAATTATTTAAAAAATATAAATCTTAACATTAAACTATTGATTTTGGAATCTTTCGAAACTGTTCTCTCAAAACCTACATGGCTGATGTCCAATAAATGCAATATTCATAACTTCGCGAATACTCAACCAATTTCCATCATATATACACTGTCTTATATAGAAGAAAATATGCAGAATCTAAAAATACCAAAAACTAATTTTGAATTTTTCCGACAACCAGCTGGTTTTGCCAAAGCCAGCCACATCGTTTTAATTATGTGAATTTTATTCAAATGGTTCTTTCCTATTGTGTATTGTCAATGTGTAGTCAGTCCTGTATATTAATGTACTGTATATGAATGGTAAGTGAAATAATAAATCAAGGAAATTTTTGATTGACAATAACTGCTAGGCTCTATTAAATTCAGTTTCGATTAATGCATGTTGTGCAACATACTAATGTGTTTCATCTTTATGTACACTATGGTTAAGCTGTAAATTAGTTTCATTTTTTTCATTGTGTAATAGCTATATTAATTTTTAAAAATTGAGTGCAATATTAATTTATATGTAAAATAATATAATATTTTTGCACTTTCAAATAGAGTAACAGCTGTAAAAGTTTTTTCCAATAAATAAATAAGTCAGTAAACCATAATATTTATATCAAAGGTTGGTTGCATGGATCCAACCGGGTTTTTCTGAGTATTCTGTTCCATAATACCTTTATCATCATTTGGGTTGTAACACCAACTACCATAACACTTCGAATATAAGCCCTGGCCTTCTTCTTTTTCTTTTTTTTTACGACCTTTGAGATGGGCGTCTTTTTAAGGCTACTTTTCCATAGTAAGAGGGGTAGCTTCTTTTCGAAACGAATGCTGTAAATTTTGGGAATTACTACCCATAACCATCTAAGTCCCTATTCAGGGACTTATTTCCAGAGGAGGGTCCATAGGGTAGGTAGATGCATTAAACTTTTTTTTACTTTAACCAATTACCAATTGAAACAATCAGTATCTGTCCCAGTTGTAATATCAGGAAATGCATGATGTAATTGTTAATTCTAATGTAACTTCCTCTTAAGTCCTGTCCAGACTATCAAATTTAATTTGACAAACAACTGTTGTATGTCCATATATAGTGATGATGTGCCCATATATTCATGATGTGCCTATAAATGGTCTTGATGTGATGTCATCATGACCATATTTAGGCATGTCACATGATTTTGTCAAAGAAAATTTGATAGTCTGGATGGGACATTAATCTACAAACTGCCTTCTCTAACAGTGTTCCGCAAACTTTTAGACTGAGAAACCAGTTTGGAAATTTAAAATTGAGTTGCGACCTACTGACCCCTTATGGACACATGCACAAGTCAGGAAGAGCTAGGCCTACAGTATATTGTGCTTGCGTTATGCAACATGCTTTATTTCAGTGTACAGTATTCTTAACCGGCCTGGTTTGACTGTAGTTGATATAGTTTTATTACCAAAATATGTAATTAAATTTTAATTACGGTAATTATAATGTCTTACATTAAATATTTTTGAGTTTAACAATGAATATTAATTATTACAAAATAATGGGTTTCATGTGTTTTATTGTTGATATAATGATAGTGACAGACTAGAGCTGGCTGATTTTTTATGATTTCTTAAAACACTAAAATTTGTTTGTTACCACCACATTTTGTGGAACGTTGTTCTAGAAAAAAGAAAGGGAAAATTATCCAAAATAGATTTGATGTTTGAAGCAACATGCAGTGTACTGAAGTACTAGTATTAAATCATTTACCAGAATTAAAAAATAGTTCACATGTCATTGAGTCTTTGCTTCGTTGCACATCCAACGTAGCGTTACATGGAATCTCACGCCCCATTTCCGCCATCATTATTGACTAATTCTGTCTGCCTCTTCTTCAAAGTATTATGACGTTTGATTTCTTTTTTTCTTTCAGCTGTGTCTCGAGTTGAACAAAGCGGTAGAAAGTCTTGGACAGCATGGCAACTGGAGGAGCGTGACGTCCGACCCTGTATATGCGTATGCTCAGGTATGGTATACTGTATAGTATACAATGTAGTATTAATGTCAATGATGATTAACAATTGTTAATATGAAAATTAAATGAAATCATGGTTGCAAAAATGTTTTTTTTTTATATAATGGCATGAACTTCTACAGCAATTGATTTTGATAATTGAGTAGAAATATAAGAAAAGGCCAAATTAAAAAAAATACTAGTTTCCCTCGCAATCCATCCATTTTCTCTGCCTCACCAATTTTTAATTTATTTTTTAAATTTCTTTATTTTAAAAAATTTACAAAAATCTGGCTGTACTCATATCAGAATTCTTCTCTGGATCATTTGTGGTTGGGGATACATATGGTATGAATTGTGTCTAGTGCTTCTTTTATTTGCTTTCAATGGGTCTACTTGGTAAAAGTGAGAAAGTAGTAGCTGTTTCCAATCCACCATCTTCGATTAGCCATCTCGGAGTAAAAAAAAAAAAAGCGCCCTCATTCTCCTTTTTTTCAAAATATTAGTATGAGAAACTACTTTTTTTTTTTATTTGGCCTAAATTAATACTGTATACTAATCCACATTTATTATACTCCTTTGATTTGTAAAGCACATAGAGACAGTTTGTAATAATAATAATTATTATTATTTGGCAAATGTACAGTATGTGAAATGAAACAACACGGATTGCCCAGATAGAGAATGTGCAGAAGCCTGATTAAGATTTTCCCCTATCATTCATATTATGAAATACACTAGTACAACCCATAGTGCCATATCAATTTATATGCAGATACAATACCGGGAGATGAACCAAAATTCCTGGCAACCAGTGGCGGTGCCAGCCGGGGGAGGACAGCAGGGGCTTAAGTCCCCCCACCAGACAGGTCAAACCCACCCCATTGGACAGAGCTCGTCGGGCAGTCAGAGTAAAAAAGATATCAAAATAGGCCCACGCCAAGCCAACACGTCTGTCACAGTCTGAGAGTGTCATTTCTGGCCATCCATAGGTTCCTATTCTTAAAAAAAACTCATTTGGGAGTATGAACCCCCTCTCAAACCCTTCCCCCAGCTCAGGTCTACAAGCTCAAGTCCCCTGTCGGACAGCTCAGCCCCAGAAAATATATCCTAGAGCCGCCAATGCTGGAGACTCAAGGGCAATCCGAGAGACTTGGTAGCTCTGAATCTCACTGACATATGAATTATATAACATACTATGCTATGTACTATGCTATTAACAGACACACAGACAATCAGTACTGCTATTAGTGGTAGTGTAATTAATTAGGTTGTCATTACATCAGAGATTACTGAAGTCATACTGTACTTACTGCTGAATAACCTCTGACCTTCAAAGCTCATAATATTGTGTTCTTAACTTGCATAGTAATTATCTCTGAAAGCAGTGATTATAGTAGCCCGTTATAGTACAATGTATAATACTACAGAATAATTAGTCACTACAGAGATGTTTTGTATTTAGCATCCTTAACAGAAATGCAGCATATATTAGAGTAGGAAACATGATAAGAAACGAAATCTTCAACCAAGCAAAAGTGTTTTTTTTTTAAATTTTTTAAACATTACTTCCTGAACTGGATGTGTGCTACGCATAGAGTAATCATAAGATTTTTGATGTAATTATTATTAACTAAATTTAAATACATTTTACATCTGTATTTTTTTTTTAGTTTAGCATTGCTTTGATTAAGAATGGAATGATGAATTGATTGATTGACATCTTAATTACATATTTTCAATGATAAAAAGAAAAATTGAGGACCAACATTTTTCCTTCCATTACTGTAATGGTCTGTCCAGACTATCAAATTTTATTTGACAAACTTAAACATGTGATATGCCTAAATATGGTCATGAAGACATCATATGACCATATATAGGCACATTATGGCTATATATGGGCATTGTCAAAAACATTTGACAGGCCTAAATATGTTCATGAAGACATATGACCATATATAGGCACATCATGACTATATCTGAGCTTACAGACAGTTCTTTTGTCAAATAGAATTTGATAGCCTGGACATAGAATGTCACATCCATCTCCCAACTCAAAGCTGCTGCTCCCTTGTTGGGCTCATATATATAATTCAGGCCACATTCCCCCTCTGTCTTATTTGTTATTATGCTCAGCAGGCTGTGGAATAATCTTCCACAGTTGTTGGCTCTTCCTTCCACCTACCGATCTTTCAAAATGTAGGTTATGGGTTAAGTGTGCACCATGAATCTTTTCTATAAATGTCTCCGCCAAGGAAGTTACTGTTATGTCTGTTAGCAGGATTATGCAAAGACTAATGACTGTATCATCATAAATGTGTTACATTAGATATTAATCTAAGAAAGAGTTCTTTTTTCCCCCTTTTTTTTTTGGGATGAAAAGGACAAGGGTTAAGATAATAGAAATTCAAATATTTTTCTTAAATTTTGCCCCCTTTGAACCTAAAGAAAGTAATGGAATTGCCCATCTCGCCTGTGGAGTGCAAGGGTGTGCACTATATGAAGTGTTGGTCTAGTTTTCTCATGTTTTTTTTGTTCATAACTTTATGGTCTTTCTCACATTGTGTGTTTTATACTACTACAGTAAGAAGCACTTAAATTTTTTTTTTTAAATACATGGCCAGCTGAATACACTCGGCATATAAACTTAATTTAACTTCTTTAAATCACAGTTGATGTATTGTCACGCTATACAAATTCTTTAATACTATGGAAACTGTGTCTTACGTTTAAAAAATCAAAGGGTTCACCATCTGTCATCTTAGCTCATAGTTGTTGCATTTGTATTACAAAATACCATGGCGCAACACATGTGTAACGTATACCTTACATCACATCATCGAGACTAGGCCGGAGGTGAAATTATACAGCCTAGGGGATGAGAAACGATTGGTGACCAGTGGGCTCCTACCAGGTATTTGCTTGTAAAGTTACAACATGGCTGTGTACCTCCATGTTACAGAATACCTGTTCATAACATCACTTAATTTGCTGATTAGGGGTTAGGGACCATCTCAACATCTTTCTGAAACTTATAAAAATGAAAGATTTTATTTTTTTAGGGGCATGAATATTCAGGATTTATATGGAATGCAGATGCATTGAAACTGGAAGACTCCTCATTGCTGGCTAGCTCTTTCAAGCTGCCCCAGAGCGGAACACCGCTTCGTTGGCCATTTTTAGGCTGTTTTCGTGTTGGACAAATTGAAATATCGGTTGTGAACATCCACGTGGCATCGTCGGGCTCTCATCAGACTAGCCTCCTGCAAAGACTATGGGTAAGAAATTCTCCTTATTCTACTACTATACCATAAATGCTTGAATGTGTGCTGCTCTCGAATAAGCGCCGCACCAAATCTGATTTTTTTTTTTTTTTTTTTTTTGCTAAGCAGTGCTTAATTGAGACCCTGTGTGTAATGCTTGGAGAAAGAGGATTTTAATTTACTGTATACAATTTATACAGTGTTAAAAATGAATAAATAACACTATGAAAATGCAAGTACTTCTTATAAATGTTTACTTATGATGACTAGGAACTATGATAGCCCTACCAAACTACGGGAATACGTGAGATAGAAACTTGTGAACGGGCATGGAAACCACCACGCCAATATGTTTTTTTATGAGCGCCACCCTCGAATAAGTGCCGCACCGAAGCCTCCAAAAATGTTATAAGCACCGCTGCGCTTATTCAAGCATTTACATTAGTTTGCTTTCATACACTACAGGTTATACTATAGGTATTATATTTTCTTACGATACATCTTACCAAAGACTTTTCTTTACCCTGATTGTTTATTCTTTTCATACAATTACCGGTAACCATCTAAAATTAGGTGTACTTCATACAAAATTGAATTGATCAAATTTATTTTATTGTTTTATTAATTATTAGAATATTATTTTTTGAGATTTTCAACTTAAAATTTTAATTACACTTATACTTAAAATTATCTCATTTAATCTTTATCCCCAGTTGGTTCCTCTCAACCATGTCACCCCTTGGTAATACCCAAATGCAACTACAGTTAAGTTAATCTGCAGTGCTTTAAAACAAAAAGTTGATAGTATAGTCATCAGAATAAATCATCTTATGACCTATATTATATGGGATGTACATTAAGTATTCACTTGAATTTAGCTTTAGAGTAACTTGAGTTTTAATATTAACATTCTTTATGAGTTTGCATCATTGAAATAAAAAAAAAAACAGTTTAATTATAACATCCACATGGCGTGAGTAGGATAAGAGACGACATCCAGCGTTGACTCGCGTCCTAAAGATTCTTTTTCATTTTTGATATTTGTTGCCTCAAGTGTTTTATAGTTTGATATTTGAATTGAACCTAGTTTATATGGATACTGTTACAAGCTTTGAATTTAGTTGGTATGTGTTTTCATGTGTGGGTATGCAGTGTGGGGAGGAGGGGGGGAACGGTGTGTGTGTGTGTTATGGGTTGTGCAGGGATATTCGTTAACTAAAAAGAAAATAATCAGTTTGTGCACTACCAGTACCTGATATTCAATAAGAAATCAGGCTCTCAAAAAATATAATTTTTACTTTGTAAAAATATGCTTATCTCCTGTTTACATTATTAGACCATAATTTGAGAGCGTCAATTGTACAATAGCTAAGAGTTTTTTTTAAGTGATGTGGAAACAAATATTGTTTTCTTACATTTTCACCATCAATTCAAATAAATAAATCCCAAATTATTTAAATAATACGTAAATGTGAAAATTTTTAGTTAAGTTTTTGTTGTCTAAAAATATTTTGTACCCAGGGCACCAAGGGAGACCAGTCTCTTTGACTGATTGGACCACCCTGGTAAAATATTGAGAATAAATAAATATTTAATTATATTGTTTAATATGTAATTATAAGTGTGGTAAGTAATATTGTCTTCTTACATTTTTACCATCTATTCTAATAAATATATCCCAAATTATTTAACTAATATTTAATTAACAATAAAAATAATAATAATTCTGGATTTATATAGCGCCTCACGTTGACACAACCTCGAGGCGCTTAACAACAGAGAAGAAAAAAAAAAAACAAAAACAAATTATATTTAATTATCTTATATTTTATTATAAGTATTGCAACAAATCTTTTCTTCTTACATTTTCACTATCTATTCATATAAATCACAAATTATTTAATTAATCCTGAATAATATTTTAGAAAATGAGAATAATTTTTTTTTTTGTGATAGTGTTACACTAAACACTCTGTATTATCCACTTCAAATGTCATATCTTAAGCATAAAAACAAAACAAAATTAACATAACTTTTCTCAAATGCGTAATTTCTGACTGTTTCCTGAAAGCATGATGCAATAAGGATCACGCCATATTTACTTGGAAGAAACCCAAGGTTTTTTTTCGATTGGTGTTTAACATATATTAGCACTGCAATCGTACGTTGACAGTGTCTGTGTTATTATTGTTGTCATGGATCAGCTGGTTACGTTCTTAACAGATTCCTGTGTATCATCGTCCATCAATTATTAAATTTTCTTTCCTTCTTAATTCTTATGGCTGGACTTGACTGTGAATGGGTCAAAGGTTGATTATGATCTTTAAAAATTTGACATTACATTAGTGATGTTGGATTGTAAAGTTTTACTATATCAATTTGCTTTCTCCTGTTCTAGTTTTGATAAAGGTTGGCAGACATAACATTTAATGGGATATTTGACTTTTGTTATCTGTACCTATTATACAGTATCTGTTTCAGATAATTAAAATCCAAAAAACCTTTTTAATGGTACTGTACAAATAATAATGATTGTTACCTATTTATTTATCCATCTTCCTCTCCATCTTTTTTCCTCTCACTAATAACTGCTCTCTCTCTTTCTCTCTCTCTCTCTGCTTTCTTAGCCTCATCCTTCTATCTGTTTTCTTTCTCTGCTGTTTCTTGAATAGGATGGCCAGGTTCTAGTGTCACTGGAATCTTGTTCCAGCGAGCCATTATTTAGGGTCTCAAGTGTGCTGGAGAATAGAGCAGTGTCACTGGTTCATTATGCTGTCTTCTCTTCGTCTCTTCGGGTGTTTGCCTTTGTTAGTTTTAGGATATTTCTTTGTTTTTTTTTTAAATTTTTGTTCTTTCAAGTCTTTACGTTTTAAGCTTATACAGACTGTAAGTAATATGTGCTATACAAAAATTCACAGCCATTACCATTACCATTTCATTTGTCTCATTTCTCCTCTTTTCTCTCCTTTGTAAGTATCATTAATTCCAATTTTCTGATTATAATTATTTTTCATTAATCTTTTCATTTATTTATTCAAATCATTTACTCATGGATTCTGTTTTTTCATTCTTCCATTAATATTACAAGTCCTTTTCCCATCTTTCTGATTTGACAAGTAATGCAGATTACTACACAAATTGATGATTTCCTTTGTAGCAATCCCTAGCCATCTGTTTTGTATTTTAATGATTCAATTGTCTTTAAATTGTGTAAGACTGATGATACATAGGTGCAGTAGATATATTATGTATTTTCCATAGCTAGGTTGAAAAACATTTGTTTTTTGTTTGTTTCAGGGAGGCTACTCTTCAGTGAGCCTCTTGTCTCAAGCTGTTAGTGCTGAGCTGCACGGTAGGTCATTTAGTTTTGTGGTCATTTTTTTTTTCTCAACTTTGTTTTTTGTATCAATATATTTTTTTTTCCTGTAAAAAAGATACTTTTTTATGATGAGCTAAAAAAACTTCATTGGAATATAAATTTAATAGGAATCCAGTTTAGAATTTGAGCAAGAATTAACAAACTAACAGTGCATTAATATGTTCCTATGTTATTTACATAGACACTTAAATTGGCTTGTACAGTAATCAATGTAAGGATGTAAGTAAATGTCTGCAAATTAGGGAAAAAAAATCCTATGCTTCACTGTCAGTTAAAATCTATCTTTTATATGATTCGATATTTTATTTGAATTTTTACGGGTTTTTGTAAATGGTACTGTAGATATATATATTTAATTACTACAAAATTATGTCTCAGGGTACAGATAGCAGCATCACATATCAAATAAATAGCAACAGAGAGTTTCGGTAATTTAACAATAGAGTAGAGTTCCGTTTCCTCAAAATAGAAGTGTTTACGAGTGGAGTGCGCCCTCACTAATCATGAAAAAATGCTGTGTAAACAGTTAGGTGTTGCGTTAGCTAAATATCCACAGTGTTTATATTTCTCTGTGTATTTTAAACAAAATGATTAATTTTTTAATTTTTTTTTTCTATATTTGTAGATGATGAGAATCTGGTAATCCTTGGTGATTTTGACTGTCCTCCGTTTGAGGATGACTTCGACGTTCTCAGATTAAAGGGCTTCCAAAACATGCTGGCAGAGTATGAGTACACCGACATATCGCTAGATAATGTGAAGGGCAGCCAATGCCAGGATAACATCTGGATTAATCATACTGCAGGAAAACTTTTAACAGGTATGGAAACAATTGTTGCTCTTGGAGGTGGTGTTGTTGTTGTTGTTTGGGTTGTTTTTCTGCTGCCCTTTTGATTATTTTTTTTCAGAGGAAAAAAAACAGACATTTATCTTCAATACTGCATACAGCCTATAGCAATTTGGCATAAATGCCATGGCCATCATATATGGAAGTTATTGGCAGTATATAAATGACCATTTCATATATTAACAGAGATGAACTTGCCACTAACATGTTGGAGAGGACTAAATTAGGTTGCTGATAAAATAATTCAAAAATGACATTAATAAAACTATAGAGTTTGAATATTTTTATGTATTTTACAGGTAATACTGGGATATGTAGAGAAAATCTAACCCACCCTCTTATACCAAATGGATGGTCCCTGAATGGAGTAGTATCAAACAGTTGCCCTATTTGGGCGGACATGTACACTGCAATTACAGGTGGAGACAACATGTCAAGTAATGGAGGAGCAAATCATATTTGCTAAGCAAAGAGATGTGCTAAGAATAAGTATTATTATGAAATAGAATTTACAAATTCAATGCAATCTGGTTTTATAATTTCTGCTTATGTTTTATAATTATAGGCAAGCTATTTTGTGTTTTGGAATATAATGTACAACAGTTGTTTTGGGGTAGGTATATAAGGAAGTTACTTATATAAGTTCTTCCGCAAGTTGAGGATAAATATACTAGTTCATTATGATGTTTAATCATATAAACTGGGTGTGCATTTTACTGATAAGGATTTTTATGCCATTTAAATAACTTGTTTGTCTGGGAAAAAAAATAATTTTGCCCTTTCTGTAAGTATTCAATTAGTCTAGACTATGATTTTGTTGACATTCTACATTTGCAATTTAATTCTTATTAAGGAAGTTATGAATATACATACTTTTATTTTATAAATTAGTTAATATAAATCGTGTACTAAACATGTACAGTACAGTTGAACTTGCCTATGTCAACTATAATTGTTAATTGTTAGGTAATGATCTGTAAGTCAAATTCTATCTAAGTCAAACAATTTTTCAATGCCATTTTGGATTTGACTTCGGCAAGTTCAACTGTACTATATTACTTGTAAGAAACTATGAAACGTTAGAAAATAACTAAATTAATCATATCATGTAATTTTTGGAACTTGCGAACTTATCAGGATATCAAACAAAATAAATTGTTTTCTTTCCTTCAAATTCTATGAGCATTAGTAGCATTGCCTCTACAAATACATCTCTTTCCGAAGTAATTAATGTCAAGTCTCTAAAAAATTCTCCATTCCTTTGACTGAGTTTGCTCAAACCTAGTGCAAGATGGAAAATCAACTTTATACACTTTCCAACCCAACATTGCAAACGTCATTTTATTCTGCTGTGGATATTGGCACTTTATGAATTTATTATATAAAAATAACCATTGTGTTCTCAGGGACAGATCTCTGGAGGGGCAACCAACAGTCTACCACAGAGGCTCAACATTATTTTCCAGTAGAAGACACCCAAAACTACACAAATTAACACAGTGTATGATTCCTGATTTTTAACTCAAAACTGTCCCATGTAGAGTACTTTACTGACAAGCTAGGGCCACCAACCTTTTCTCGCACCTGGGTCCCTTGACTTACAGTACACGACTGTTTTTCAAAATTAATAATTTGCTATATGTTTAGTTCACATTATACTCAAAGTTATTGCCAGTATTCTCAAATTTTATTTTAAATTTGAAGTTGAACAATCTAGGAATAGAAAAGGTTATACATTTTTATATATATACAGTATATTAGTAAATAATGTTAATGTTTATTTAATTGTATTTTATATTGAATTGTATTTTATTTATTAGTATTTTTCAATTATAATAAAAGGTTAATAATCATTAAGGGCATGCCATTAAAATAACGTTATTATTTCTTGATCAATTCTACTACATACAATAATTATGATTTTTTAAAAACTAACTATATATATGCAATTAATTTACCATACATTGATGCTAACAATTGATTGTATATAAAAATTTAGAGAAAAAGTATTTTTATAGAAGTTTATTATTTAAAGGAATTCTGTAATGCAAAGAGGTTTCTGAAATGCAACTTAAATGCAATTTAAACGCCAACTCATGTTATTAAGCTCTGCCATTGGACATTTGTTTACTGAATGTAGAGGTAAATAGAGCAACAACCACGCTGACACTCATATTTAAGTTTATGGAGCCGTTTATTACACCCTGTCTATTTCACAGGTGTAGGCTAAATACACTTTTCAAATGCCAGGTCTCTTACAGGTACTGTTAAGCTCAAATTCCTGTTTATTATCGATTAACTCGGGTTGTTTGATTCCGTAGGCCTGGTCATATCTAGGTTACTTATATTAAGTTGATGTAACCGCTTATTACACCCTGTCTATTTAACAGGTGTAGGCTATCCACCCTTTTTCAAATGCCACATCTCTTGCAGGTACTGTTAAGCTCAAACTCCTGTATATTATCAATTAACTGAGGATGTTTGATTTCGTAGGCCTCCTGGTCATAATATCTAGGCTACTGTTCATTGCAAGCCCAATGTAGTCAATTTCTTAGGCCCTTGGGGGACACCAGCTTTTAGAATGAACTCAAACCAATCAGAAGGATGTGGCTTAGTGTCTAGGAAGTGTCTCATTTTAAGTGGATATTCCGTACCATGTTGTCATAGTTCCTCTAAAACTAACTTGTACATAGAAGAGGCTTGTGAATCTATAAAATGTGAGCGTAATAATAATCCATGTTTTAAAATACAGTATTCATATTTTTATCCCTAGATCTACCAAGTATTGAGGGGAACCCATCATCTCCCCTCCCCCACTTTATTTTTAGTATTATAGCAACACTACATTCCTTTCATGTATTATTTCACTGAGTCTGTTTATAGTATGATAGTATGAAAGTATTCTCTAGTTTACTCCCCAAATGCTGTGTGTCACAGGAGCTTAAACCTGTGTTTTTATATGAGTGCATCATATGGCAGGGTGAAGGATTTATTTGATAAGAGCTCTTGTAATGATGGGTTACATTTTTTGCACTACAAAAGTAATTTGTGGTATTTAGATATTAATGATGGTGTACCACAGTTATGTGGAAAACACTTTATATGATATACAGTAGGATGAATAATGCTAATGGTAAAAGTTTGGCGATTCCTTATTTCGACACTGGTGTTGAATACATGATTTTTTGAAAATAAACTTTGTTGCAATACAGAGACTAATGTGCGATTGTACACTATTTTCTTTATGATTTACTGTAAATAGATTTTATGTGAACCATTGTTAAACAAATATGCTATCTCATACTGTAGATTCAAGTGTACATGCAGTGGTGGATCTAGGAATTCATAATAGAGGAGGCCCAGGGAGGGACTTTCATATATATACGGGCCATTCATGGTGGGGCTAAGGAAAGAATATTTATGATTATGACACCTCCACTACCTGTGAGCGCTAAACGATTGTCACTGGCAATCAGAATGGATAGTCATTAAAAACGATCCATTGCACACGTGGCGTCGTGTTGCGTTTTTCATAGAATCAAGTCAGGCGAAGTGAGTGCCTGGGTTAATGAACCTTTCTGGAGTGTCAATAATAAAAAATTAAAAAAAAGACGAACTGGCCAATCAGAGTTATCGCTAAGAATACATGCTTATCCCACGAACATGTGTGTCCCACACATTTACACTACCTTTTTTGAGACCTTAGCAACAATATCCAAGGGGCGGGGCTTAGCAGAAATGGCCGTTGCTGTAAATTTAATAAATAAGACACAATCATACAACTTATATTATCATTTGCATTATATAAAGAAATCAGTTGATCTTATAGTAGCCAGATACTGTAACCATTCTTCAAAGATATAACTTTTTTAATAAAATGCAGATGATGAATACATTGTATGATTTGTTTGCATGCCATGACCTTTGACATACACATGCACACTTGGAAATACAAGATGGTATATTATATTTATACACAACACATGACATCAAACAATAACACATTGTTAAGAAACAAACAATATTTATTCTGTATGTTCAACCATACTTTTTTAAGTGGCTTTAGCTGTGCAAGTTAAACATCAACAGGAAAATAAAACTGAAATGCCTTGGAGCGTCCCAAACAACAGTACACTACTGTAAATCATAAAAAGCAAAGTGTTTGACAAGCCATGCTAACCATCTGTTCCTCAATAAAACATGACGTTCGTCATTCAGGGGGATTCTCTGAAATTATAACTACTTGCTTGTCACTAATTAACTCTTAATGAGGACGAACCACCTCCACATTTTCTACCCATTACAAATTATTGGAATGTTTTTCAGGTTACGAGTCCAGTCATCACAATTTTACTAGATTAAAAATGCCCTTACATTCTTGGTATCTGACTTGACAAAGGCGTAGAACTAAAAAGAAAATAAAATTAAAAATATATAATAGATATATATTTCATTCATGACGTAAATCTTATCACCATTGTTTAATTTATATATCATTCTTTCCATATTTATAAACAAATTATTTATTAACATAATCATTAGTGTATCATATTATGTTTGACTAGTTATCACTGAAATGAAAGTTTTTTATTTTTTTTCTTGACATTATCATTATCATAAGCAATAAAATATATGTTTTCCATCCACCTTAATTCTATCCCTCACCTCATATCAATTTTTTAAAGAACTGTTTTAAGAAAAATATTTAAAAATTGAATACTTACATTAACGGTTGATGGCGAGTGTTACTCAGCTGAAAATAATAACACAGGAATTTAATATGGAAAAACTACAATTGATGATTTTAACAAATGTTTTAACTGAAATTACACAGAAACGGTATTGAAACAAGCTGATGAATTTATGCTGTTATTTTGAAATTGCATTTTACATACACATCGCAATTAAACAATCTGAAGAACAGATACTGTAAAACATTGAATAGAAGCCCTGGGCTATTTTTTAGGACCCTTGGAGGGGCTACTTTTCAAGATGGGCCTCTTTTCGAGATGCGGATCATTTCGAGTTTACTTTTGTAAATTAAAGAGGGCTTCTTTTCTAAAATTAATGCTGTAAATTTTGGAATTGCTACTACAGCATACAACATTTTTCAACTATTGAATTTAAAAATTCTGTTAATTATTTTTTAAATTTTAAATGCTAGTAAAATGAAATAATATTGATATTGACACGCTATCATAATCAATGATAACATCAGTTTGAATGCAAGTACTATCTTGAAAGAAGCCCATATTATCTTGATTAGAAGGCCATGGGCTTCATTTCGCGATGGCTTCTTTTCAAGATTGCTTTTGCAAATTGAAGAGGGGACTTCTTTTCGAGATGGGCTCCTTCTTGAGATTAAGGCCATGGGACTTCTATTTAAGGTTTTTTACGTATTTGAAAACAAGTGATAACTTGTACATTAAGTTATTCAATTACAAGCTCAAAGAAAGATGACATACCTGTATTGGTTTCTTGTTTGTATCACCATATTTTGGTGTATGTTGCCGATTATCTATCAGTCAGAATAGAAAGTAAATTGTAATAAATAGTATGCTATAGAGGGCGCTCTTTAAATTAAACTCAAAACACAAGGTACAGTACCCAGATTTTAAAATGTCACATTTGTATTCAAAATATTATTATTAAAATAATTATACACTATTTTAAAGATGTATTGTCACATGCTAAATGCCAAAAAAATCATAAAAATATTTTTTGAAATTAACTTGCCCATTTTGAAGTACATTAACATAAAAGTCTACCCATCAGTTTACAGCGAAAAATGATAGAAACACTTCCAGTCACTGGAAGTGTTTTATTATTTTTTTTGTAATTATTTGGTTTAAAAATCAGGGTACACATTTTTTAAATTCAATAATTTTTATGCTATTGCAATATGAGCAAGTTTATTTCAAAATTATTTTTAATGATTTTTTGACATTAGCAAGGGACAATACATCTTTAGGTAATTTAATTTAATTTATTTTATTTTACACCTACCCATCATGTAGCGCTTCATTTGTGAAAATTGGCTCTGTGAAGATGAAATATGATCTCTTCCACTGACATTGAAACCATCACCACCACTTCTGAAGAATCGAGACAAATATAATAATATTTTATTTTATTTCAACTACAACCAATAGTGGTATCACCCATTACAGGATGTCTTAAAATACACATACTATATATAAATATATATTACAATAAAAATGTATTATTTTATGTAAAAACAATAATAATAATGATAAATAAAATAAAAAATATTAAAAAATAATACAGTAGATACCCCTCCTTTGGGACACAATTATGGGAACAACCCTATTAAGGGGACACTATTTCAGCCACGAAATGAGTGAAAGTATATCTCTTAACACTACAGGCAACCGCTATTCAGGGGACACCCCTATTACGGGGACACTTTTTTGGCCCCAAAGGTATCCCCTTAATATTGGTTCTACTGTAATAGTTTCAGATCCTGCTGTACCTGTTATACATCGGACTAGTTATCATAGGTGAAGATGTCTTATTGAGGCCAGGTGTTGTTGGAGCCAATAGCCTACCAGGTGTGGTGCTAGGCCTAGATAAAAGAAACACTGTAATTGATTTTTTTTTTATATTTCTCATTCTTGCCTTCTTTATGGGTCGTTCACAATTATCAATTATTTTCACAAGTGTAAAACAGTACGATAGGGGAGGGGGTAGACAAATTTGTACACTTTTAAATATGCATGAAAATGTTGATTTAAAATAACATACAATATTTAAAGTAATAGATTTTTATGACCAATTATAATGCAACCATAGATATAATATACATTTTTAAGTAACTACTGTAGTATAGAACTTTAGTTGCTAATCAACATTTTTTATGAGGGGAGGGGGGATATTGAAGAAGAGTACTGTTTGTACACTTGCGAAATGTTGATAATTGTGAACAACCCCTTAGTAATGCTCTCTTTATGAGGATTAGGGCGTACATTTGTTTTTGGTGTGAGAAAAAAGTCTGCCAAATATTGCCACAGGAGTTATTAATGAATCATAAAAACAATTAAAAAAAAAATTATCCTTTCATACTTGAATAAATAGTCGAGAGGCAGGTAGCACATTTGAATTTAAATTTCTGGTTGTTTTTGTTTACCGTTTTGGGTAACCTGATGGTGTTTTCCTTGTTCCTGAATTTCCTGGTGTCGTTCCTACAAATGCAAAACAAACATAATCAGGTTTTGTTTAACATTATTTATAAGTTTTTAGTTTTCTTTTCAATGCAGCAAGTGACATGTAGATAATAATAATAAGAGGAAAGAAAACTTGTTTTTAGTCACTTCATTAAATATTTTAATTATAGTGCTCACCCAATCTACCATTGATGGGAGGGGTTCGTAGACTGATCCTTGCTGGTCCTTGAGGTGTTCTTATCTATATTTTAAAAAAAAAACAAACCATGTGAAATATTGAAAATATAAGCGACATGGGGAAGATGTATGCAGTACGTAGGGCAAGACTTTCTTTATATCTAATTGTGTTTGAAAAATTTTCATATCAATAGAGTATTGAACTGAATGAAAACAATAAATTTCAAGGAAAGACGATGTGGTAGAAAACTTACCATCTGTGGAGTATGATTCCCATCCTGGGACCTGAGGAAGATGTACCACAATTTAATTTTTTATGCCATATACATGCTCTATAACTCTCTTTAAGAGGTTCAGAAATTGGGAATATTTTTTGTTTTGAAATAAATCTGGAGACTATATGCAAGAACTGAACCAAAGACCTTGGAAATTAAGGGTGGGCACTTTAATCATAAAGTCACATCTCTAACAAAAGATATATATTTCATGAACTACATAAGGAACATGCTGAGCACAGGTATTATAATGTATGCACAATGGAAAAAGAATAATTTTAAAAATCCAATAGAATGAACATACCTGTTTAACTTACTGGTGAGGGTGTAAGGAGAATTGAGGATTGGTGAAGGTGTTACAGCTATAGAGAAATGAATATTTATATTTTATAATTTAGTTTATAAAACAATTTTCCAAATTACAAACATTTTTTTTACAAATCTATAATATATATATTAAGGGAATTTGTTGTTGAGAAGAATCTTTGAGGGGCTTTTATTTGAGGGATGCGTTCATTTATTTTGGTGTAAAACGGATACATATAATACTCAAATAAATGCTCATTAATTTCAATGTAAATGTGGAGAACTACAACACATAATTACGGTCAAAATGTGTTATTGCGTGATCATGAAGACTTATTGATCCCCAACCAGGTTAGAAAAAATGTAATTCTACTGGAGTAGAACATTAATAGAATGTGTTGAGAATGATGTTGCTTCCATTGGTTTTCTTTAGTCATTTGATGAAAAAATAAACATTTATTTAAGGGAGGCGTTTATTCCAAATGGAGCTCTAGAGGGGGTGTATATTCGATGGGGCGTTTATTCAAAGCGTGGCATCTATTCGATTAAATATGGTATTTTTATCACTTTACTGTATTATCATTTTTATTTATGGTACTTACATCTTGATGCCATTCCAGGGTTCAAAGGCGAAGTCCTCTGAAGGATACGTCCAGGTGTTCCACACCTTAAAGAAAACATTGTAATGAATTATTTTATTTATATACTTATTACAATTGTTTGGTCAAGTGGACCTGTATACGTTAGTCATGGTGGGTAACACATTGACTGCCAAGCCTTTTTTTCCCTACTGTAGTTCTATCCTGAACGCCAAGGTATTAAGAGTGCCACCATTATGTAAATCATTCCCACTGGCTGTAGAAACACGAACAAACATGTGGTAGTTATTTTTAGATCATTACTTCCGGGAACTTCACTGAACCTCCAGGGTGAGAGTTCATATTCTGGTGACCACTGGCATCAAGTTTATGTTACGATAGTGGTATGTTGGACAAATGTGGACGTAAACTCGCGTCACTGGCGCCCTGAGCGAACCCTGTTGGACATTCACCCACGTCCCTGCCAGTGAAAGCTTTAATGCAATACATATATAATAAAAAAACATTACAATACACTATCATCAATAACTATTACAATGGTAAACAATTATTATAAGGAAATTGTAACATCAACTTTTTCAGGCAATATGGCTCCTTCATGTTACTATTTTCCAATACAGCATCATAACTTTGCAATAATATCTCATTATTGTACTGTTTAATAAGAAATAAGGATTACCCGAGCCTTGAATGACAAGCTAGTAAAAGCTAAATGGTATAAAATATTTCTACTGTAGGATAAGCACACAAAAGTTGAAGTACAAAGTATAGGGTATTAATGATTACCTTCTTTTTACAGGAGATTCTTCAAGTAGACTTCGTAAGTGGTTGTTTTCTTCAGTAAGTAATTTAATCTCCCTAAAAATAAGAGCAAAAAATGCATCATGTTTCTTATATGATGTTATTACCTACATAAAACATAAATGACTTTCACTGTACGTTCAGTATAATATTATAAAAAAATTGAAGATTCCTGTACTGTAGTGTACCTCTCTAAGATGTCAAGCGTCTCGGATCGCTTCCTGGCTTCAGCCAGCATACTGTTCTGTTTCAATATCTACAAATGCATTATTAAAATCAGGATTAACACAGTATTCATTTATTTCATAGTATAATAATGGTAGGAGTATTAAGGAAAGCTTTTTTAGGTCTAAACCTTCAACTAGCACAAAGTAACCACATTTTTAGCAAACAGAAGTGCTCATCAGATTGGAGATAGGACCCCAGTTAGTGGTCTGCCTAACCACACATCCAAACTCTAGTTGCCACCCCATCCAAGGACCTCATAGTACCACCATTTTCATACCGAGAAACAATAATAATAATGGTAAACTTATACAGCGCATTATGAAAATACCTCTATGCACTTCATATTATCATTACCTCAGTCATTGGAGCAAACACCTATGGAACACAAACTCAGTTTCCTGGGGGAGTATTCCATAATGTTGCGTTAGCTACATCAGCGCATTTTGGCATTTTACCCTACAAGGTACCCACTTATACTCCTGGGTGGAGAGGAGCATTGCAGATAAAGTGCCTTGCCCAAGGAAACTAGCAAAATGTACAGTGAGGGATTCAAACCTCGACCTCGAGGTTTGGAATCGAAATTGTTCTCGCTGCGCCAAACTACTTCAGTAAAAAGCAACTTCTCCCAATGGGCTTGGTTTGCTTTATTGATAAGTCTCTTTGTGAGGATAAATTTCTTTTCACAGTATAGCATTTTATATGACAAATATCTGTCACTTGCCCATGGGTATATTAATATAATATAATAATGCCCATATATAGATGTGATATGCCATAATCATGCCCATAAATGTGCAAATCACACAAATTTGTCACATAAAATTTATGATAGGTATTTTTTTTTTACCATATTTATAGAGGGTGACCTTTTCATCGTATCCTAGAAAGTAGGCTAATATTCAGTGGCCCTCTTTCAAATAAATAAAATTGAATGTGATGCTTTTTTCAGCGAAGCCTCTTTATGAGGCTTAGGGAGTGGAGTTGTTTTTAGTTGTGAGAAAAATGTTTGCTGTCATAGGAATTGAACCCAGGACCCTGGGATTAGAAGTCAAGCATCTTAACTACTAAGCTATTTAACTCCACTCTAGTACAGACATTGCTTTAATGGTGACTATTTACAGGATTTGAACCTAGGACCCTGGTATTAGAAGGAAAGCATCTTAACCACCAGCTACAGCTCTGCTATTACATTACTCTACCTCTTGTTTCCGATGAGATGCAAGGAGCTGCTTGTGCTTTTGCTGAAATTCAAGGATCTGAAAATAAAAAATATTGAATAACAGTGTCTTGACCAGCTCATTATATAACTATATAAGTAAGATTTGGGAATTATTGTTCGGAAATTTATTGTCTCAATTATGACCATTTATTATTAGTCCTACCAACTGAGCTATACGAGGCCTAACCTTCATTCTCTTGGATTTTCCACAAGAAATCTTAAACCAGATGTGTAACCTGAGTAAATAAATATAATAAAGGAATTGATATACTCACCTGTATTACCTGTTTAAGGTGTTTTTTCAAAATATCTGCAGGGTCCTGAAAGAAAATCTCCACATCTGGTTTTAGCTGTTGAAGAATAATAAAATGCTTAAACTGGTAGGTAAATCAAATTTAATATAATATTTAAATGGTTGCGATAATTTGTGTACATTACCTGTGATGTCAGTGGTATGATTGTAATAATTTGTGTACATTACCTGTGATGTCAGTGGTATGATTGTAATAATTTGTGTACATTACCTGTGATGTCAGTGGTATGATTGTAATAATTTGTGTACATTACCTGTGTGTACCCTGAATAGGGCTGTCCTAAATGAGGGGTTCTACTGTTCCTTAGCCCAATCTTTAATTACAGGAAGTTGTATGTAATAAATTCCATTTTATATATATTTAAGTTACCCTAATGAATAATATAAACATTGATTCTAGAAATCAGAAAAAAAAACCACCAATATTTAACTATATTTTAATGGTTAACCTATAATGTGGAAATGAATTATGAAATGTTCTATAATAATTAAATTATAATTATTGATGAAATGGATATTTTCCTATTGTTTTGTAAAGGTTTTGAAAGTATAATTCAATATAGATTAAATTACCCTTAATATTTATTTATGATAATTCTAAATAAAATTAAATTGTCTTATATTGATAAATGGATTTAGCGTTTTCATAATTGTTTTTAAAATTTAAATTTCAAAAACATGGACTTTCAGATTTGTATTATAAATTTAATATTAAATACAAGAAATGATATACATGTCTGTCTATTTTTTGGTATGTTGCTATTTAGGTCCTCATAGATACATGTTTTATGAAATCGAAAGCCATTTATTTTGCTGAGAAGAAACAAATAATTTTATTATTAATTATTATACTATTATTATTATTATTATTATTATTATTATTATTATTATTATTATTATAGAGATGACGACGCCGTTGATGATGAGGATGTTGATCATGGAGATTGATTTACTATTCACGTTTATAATACTACATTCAGTCTACACCAAAACATTGTATTCACAATTTACTTATTATCCTAAGTGATAAATACAAACAAAATGTATCTTTCCAATATAATTATACTTGTATTATATGCAAACCCATCACACTTCGTGCGCGTATTGCAAATTTTGTTTTCACGAAGTAACACAGAGTACGTAAAAGCATTACTACAAAAGCATGTTGCAAATTTGTGTTTTCACGAAGTAACACAATAGTTTTAAGTTAATTATCAGCTAATTAAAATAAAGTCATTATTATTTTTAATACAAATCATAAGCTTCAACCTTTTGAGTTCAACGTATGTTAAACTTAGCCCCGATTTAAGCTGTTTTATGGTCAGAATTCAAATTCTTTTCGTGCAGATTACTTCAAAAACGATTTTCTCGAAATGGAAATTTTGCTCAAATCGCGTATTGTGTTAGTTCGTGATGTGAGCGACAAATAAAGAGTGTGGCGCACTGTGTTAGGCTTTCAATCGGAAGGTCGGGGGTCGACACCGATGCTCATCATACTGCTTGTGTCCTTGGGCAAGACACTTTATCTGCATTTGCCTCTCTTCACCCAGGTGTATAAATGGGTACCCGTCTGGAGGTGAATGACACCATTAATTAGGAATACTCCCTCTGGAGTGGAGGAGGTTATAGGTTGTGTAAGAT